AGACACACAACAGACACAAAGACCCACTCATAAAGACATACACACCATACACAAAGCACACACAAAAAGACTCATGTATGTACACAAAGACACATAACACACACACACACACACACCCCTAACAAGTAAAAAGAATAGACACTTGTTTAGTTGTTTAGTAAATCTTATTAAAGTTAGAAACATTTTAAAATTTTGTTCTTTAGCTATTTAGTTTCATAAGTCTGTGTTGTTTCACTGTAAGTAAATTAATACAACTAGGCAGATATTTAAATACATAAATATTTAAATAATCAAGGAGAAAACACAGCTGTTTGTGGCCTCCTTATGAGATTGCAGAATTTATGTACTATTGCGAATACATTTAAAGCAATCAATTCCAGCATAAATTTATTAAATCTGATTGATAGCCTTGCACACAGGAACACTGAGTCCTGAAAAATTGATAGCATTGTTCTTCATCATTAAGGAGAGAGTGGATGGGGAATTCATGCTTGTTTATTGAACTGTAGTTAAAGTACAGAAAGTTCAGTAAATAGGACCCAGCATTGATCTAACGAGCACAGGATTGCTAAGGTTCAGGAAAGCTAACCATCCATGTTACATGGACGTTCACTGTGGAAAGAGGAAGCCATAAGTTTTATGTTGACAATATGGTGCTTGTTATTATTGTTGGGACTTTTTGTCTATTGATTTTTTTTGTGTGTTGTTTATGAGTGAGCAAAGGATGGTTTAAATAAATGAAGAAAGCATTCAAACCTACGCCAGTGATCTTGGAGCATGTCAGCAAGAACTTTACTAGACTCCAAAGTTCCAAGGACCACTGAGAAGCTAAAGCAGCCACTGTTTTCATGGGAAAGAATGTGGGAAGACTCAGTTTGGTAGTTTTTTGTTTTGTTTTGTTTGTTTGTTTTGTTTTGTTTGTCTGTTAAGATTCTTTAGTTCAAGCTGGGGAATAGTAGCACATGCCTTTAATCACAGCACTTAGGAGGCAGAGGCAGGCAGATCTCTGTGAGTTCAAGCACAGCTTGGTATACAAAGCAGTTTCCAGAACAGCCAGGGCTCCATAGAGAAACCCTGCCAACCCTGGCAACCCCTGATTTTACTATCCATTCAAAGGGCAGTGCCATTCTTGGAATGTCATATAGTTGGAATCATACAGCATGGTGACTTTCCAGGTTGGTTTCTTTCATGAGTAAAATACATTTAACACTCCCTCCATGCCGTCTCATGCCATGGGGGTTCATGTGTTTAGTGTGTGCTTATGATGTTCCATTTTCTATGTGTGCCATGGTTTGTGGCTGGTGAAGGAAATCATTGTCGCTGGCAATTATGAGCAAGGCTGTCATAAACACAGTGTGGGTTTGTGTGAGTGCAAGTTTCCTGTTGAGTGTGTTCCATAGACGAGTGTCTTCCATTCACGGTAGGAATAATTAGTTATGGCGGGCAGTGTGCTGGACCTGCCTCTGCAGATTCATCAGTCTCAAAAAACATTCTACTGTGCTGGGACATTCGGGTCTTTTGTCTTTCTGAACAAATTTTAGGATCAGTGAATCAATATTCACAGAAATAATTTGCTGATATTTTAAATGGAATGCACTGAATCTATAAGTTAAGTTGGAAAAATTTGATATTTATGAGATTGGCTCTTCCTATCCATGAATATGGAAAAGCTCTTCTTCTCAAGTTATCTTATCTCATGATAAAACTCACTTTATTAGTGATTTTTATCATTTTATTCACATAGATCCATACCATTTGTTCATTTCATGCCTAAATATTTCTATATTGTGGTGCTAAAATAAGTAATCTTAGCTTTTATTTCAAACTTGTCTTAATATTCATGTTTCTTTTGTATCCTGTAACCTTTCTCTAATCACATAATCTGTCCCGTAACTTCCTTTCTGTTTCTTCACAGATAATCTTGTGACCAAGGAACAAAGCTTTGTTTCTTCTTTTCTGCCAGTTTATTTTCATTTCATTTCATTTTCTTGTCTTAATTCTTTGTCAAAGTCTTCCAGTCTAATTTTTGAAAATCGGTGATGAGAGGGGACAGCCTGCTCCTGCCCCTGATATTAGTCTGAACCTAGCTAGTTTACCCCATTAGACATGAATCTTACTCATTATTAGATTTGATTTTTTGATATTTAGTGAAAACTTACATATCTAAGTTTGGTTAAGTCTACTTTTCTTCTACAGAATGGTCACAGACAGCTGAGTTACTCAGCTTTTCTAAGAAGCAAAACCTTAGCAGTTAGCTCCACGTCTAAAAAAACTAAGAGAATAATGTAAGTGAGACATCATGTGCATGGCCTTGTTTAGGGTGCTTTGCTAATGTTTAGTAGTAGCTCCAAGGGGTGTCTTTAAAAGAGAAATTAAAGTCTCCAGGAGTGGGTCAGTGATGGGAAAGTGTGAAGAACCAAAAATACCTCATTCAATTTGGTGTAATGGCGAGGACTTTAAAATCAGTAATAGTTGATTCGTTTATTATGAGAACTGTTTATTGTTGTGCCGCTTTCTACCACACATGATTTAAACATTGGTCTTTCAGTCTGACCCTGGCTGATAGGGAAGAAATCACAAGTTGTGGAAGGCATTGGCCATCTTCACACGTGGACCCATTCCCTCAGTGAAAAGTCCTGGGTTCCAGCAGTCAGAGCAGAGTGAGTGCTTTGAGGCCTAGGTGCTGGGGAATCATTTTTGTTCCCCGAAGTCCATGGTTCAGGGAGATTTATTCTGTAAGAAAATGGAGCTCTGGTCTCTGCAGTGTTGTGTTGTGTGATAAGCACCAGTGAATTAACAAGAGAAGAACGATGTAGAGGAGGGAGGCATGTTTGGGCCCATGATGAGTACCGTGGGGTATCTGAAACCAGGATATTGGGATTAAACCCGTGCACGACTCTGAGGTCCCTTACAAGTAGCCCTTCTGTAGGGAACGAGTGCCTGGTGCTATGTCCTTGGCTTTTGTTGGGGGAATACATTGACTTTTTTTACTACTACACCAGCACTGGGTGCGGGTGGTAGATAGGGCTCATAAGCTACATACATTCTCAGCTCGGTTTTTACCTTTATTTTGAAATTAGTGTATGAATTTTTAAAAAGTAAGAATAGAAAAGAGGACGAGTTGGGAAATTGTTACAAAGGAATGCAATGAGACATGAATTATTATTACAACTAACCAACAGTAAAGGCTCTTAGCATTGTTCAGGGATATATGGTCATTTGTATGTAAAACGGTTTGTCATATATTGGTAACTGGTCTTGGATAGTTCCTTTAGGGAGGTGACACCTGTTCATTGGTGTAAAAAATTGTTAAATGTCCACAGAATTGCTAAATGAGCAGAGACCATTGATAAGAATGTTAATTCGAAACCTTTAGTGCTTTTGATTTTCTTAATAGAAATGTAAAAAGAACCAAGCCTGCCATTATTGAAGGCAGTGGCAATAGCCAGATCAAAATATTTTTTAGACCCCAGGGCCACACCTGTATCTATGACACCTGTTGGGTGAGATCTGTGAGTCAACACCTCTGGTAAAGCCTAGGTGTAACTCTGATATCTGTCATTCAGTGAGGGAAGGACAATGTCTTTTGGAGAAACTGTCTGTGCGCAGAAGTTGGGAAAATTCAGTCAACTCGCCCTTGGGATTTTGTGACTGAGTGATGTGAAGTGTGTTATTTCAAGAGAATCAACATGTACATAGAAAGTAGATACAGTAGAAAAGACACGCTACATAAGAGAGGCGCGACACGCTACATAAGAGAGGCGCACCTATGTGTACAGCAAGCAGTCTAAGAAGCCAAGAAGAAGTAATGCTATTGCTTGCTAAAGAGCTAGAGCACCTGTTAATTGGGGCAACACGGAATGGAGTCTGTAGCCCTCTTGCATACTGAGCGTATTAGTATACGCTGCAATTGAGAGAGTTGCTTGGGTGTTTACTGTTCATTAAGAAATGTGAAAGCACAGCAACTAACAATTTGTTAAATACCCCCTGATTAACAGATGTGTCTAATTACTGGAGAGCTTATTCTTGGGCACGGTTCCTTACATGTTTACAAGGTGAAACTTACATCTTTACAATATTTAAAATCCCAAGTTCTATATTAAATCTCAAGTTTATTTTTATGTAGTTCTGCTTGACCATTGCATTGGAAAACCATTCTAATTCTTCTTTTCCCTCCTGTGGTGAATGTAGGAGCCCTGATTTAATTATTTAATATGGAATCAATGTCCTGAGTAAGGAGCATAGATGAGAATAAAGGTAAGACCCTTAGTTCATGGTCTCTGTTTGGAGTCTTTAGATTACAGATGATAGCTGATTGATTTCAAGATGAGTAATATATACCTAAAGCAGGCACCACTCTCCAAGTATGTACTAATTGACGAAAGGCAGGGTTATTTACCAAATCATGTTCAATCCAAATTAGTGCAACAGAAATGATTTTCAGAGGAGACATTGTTCTCCTAACCTTTAATGTTACTCTTCGTGTTGTGACTGAGTTCAGCATTCACAAGAGTGGCTCCCTGGGGATGGCCCAGTACACAAGCCTATAAGTGTTTCAGAGGTGGAAGACAGTACCTTCATTACGTTTCATGGAGCCGTCTTTGACATATGGCTGGATTAAATAAAAGAGAACCACACAAAAACTAGATATGGATTTGCTCCAAAACTGACTTGTTTAACAGTCCATAGTGTTCCACCCTTCAGCACCCTTATCAAACTAGCATTAACTGAATTTCTCAATGAGAAAAGAGCCCCAACCCAAAGATCTGGTTTTGGGGACTCTGTTTTGTTAATTATGAATGAAGCAAACACCCAGCATGGGCCAATGATGAGGAGCATGGGGTTTCTGAACGAGGACAGTGATTAAACCCTTATGAAATCTGAGGACTATTGCAAAGTGGTGTCTGCAGCCCTTAGAGACGAGTCCCCAAAGCCCGATCTTTGTGGATTCGTGGCACAACCCACATTTATTACATGGCTAGTAATAAAACTAGCCATGAATAAAAAATCTATCAGTGACGGAAAATTAAGGAAGATAGACTGGGCAAGATGGCACATGCCAACAGTTCTAATGCTTAGGGAGTTGAGGCAGGGGCATCAGGAGCTTAAGGCAAGCCATGGTTACATTCCTCCCAAAACCAAAACAAACAAAACCAAGATAAAGCAACAAGAACAACAACAACAAAAAAGGCAAAACCAACAAAATGGGGGTAGATGGATGGCATGGTTCTACATGTAAGGGCATCTGCGACCACGCCTGATGATCTGTGAATTCCATCCCTGAAATACTCATGGAGACGAACAGACCCCTATAAGCTGTCCTCTGATCTCTACACATATGCCCCCCCACACGTGTGTGCACAAAATAAACAAATTAATTAAAACAAAAATAACGAAACCAATGGCATACTTGTGCTTTATAGAGCATTTAATGCAGTGCGGGTGGTTAGTCATTTTGAGAGTCTTAGTTTAGGTGCCTAGTAGCCGTAGAGGTCATGCTATTTGATTATTGCAAAAGGACCAAGTTGAGGCGAGTTGCCCCACGTCAAGGAAAAGAAGCCCTTTCTGTAATTAGTGACTAAAGGAAGACCACTCTTAGAGAGGGCAACAATAAGACTTTACACACACCACCTTTGATAACATCTAGACAGCTTTATTGAAATAAACACACACTAAGTCAAGTAAGTTTACTTCTCCTAAGCGGTGACATAGGAAAAACATGAATACCACTCAGGGACTGATACAGTGCGGGTGGACTCCCATCAAGCACAGTGTAATTAAGAAGAGACATATTCATAAATTTGTATCTCAACCAGTCTTTTTGTTTGTTTTAATTCAGTCATTATGTACCAGTGGAAACCTTTACACCCTTGGGATCTTTATGTCATCCACTTCTGAAATCCACAAGAAGGCAGAGATTTTCTGGGCCTTTCCAGTGTTGCATTTGGGAATTTACCTTGTTAGTGTTTCAGTGTTGGCTTGATGGCGGCAAACTTTTTAAAATTCTGCTAGAAAAATTATCCCATGAGAAATTAAACACATCAGTTAGTGAGGGAAGTAAGCAGGGGCTGGGGAGAAAGCTAAGTCAGCCAGGTGGTGCCTTGAAATCATGAGAAACTGATTTCCATCCCCAGCTTGTGTAAATTAAAAAGGTTGAGTGTGATGATATGTATGGGTGACCCCAGTGCCAGGGAGGCAGCAGTGGGTATAGGATGGCATGT